TTGCAAAACTCATTAGCCCTTGATCTTTAGCAAAAAATTCCAATCCACTTTATCATATACCTTCTCAAGGCCAACCTTATGTGCATCATTCTTGGTCTGTTATCTAATTTTCCCCATGAAGGCATTCTTGGGATATAAACATCTCTTCCATGGTTTTCTTGGACTTCTTTAACATAGGCTTGTTGTGGTCCTATGATCACCAATTGTGAAACTGATCTCATCTTTTTAGCTAGCAGCTTTGCTATTATCTTGTTCAGGTTCATGAGTAAACCTATGTGTCTGATATCATGCATGGATCCATGCTGTCTTTCTTGGGTAGCAATGTGACGAATGCAACGTTAATTGTCTTGTCAATCCTCTCTTTATGGTAAAATTCTTCAAAAAGAAACAAAAGCTCATATTCAATATCCTCGTAGAAGGTCTGAGAGAAGGCAAGTGGGTAGCCACTAGGGTTCATTGCCTTCTATCTTGGTGGAGCAAAAACTGCTAATTTTATTTCTTTTATATTAAAGGGTTTTTCTTGCTCCAAGGACTGCAACATTGAGCAAATGAAAATGCAACCTCTCTGTGGAGGTGATAGGTCGTCTCTTTGCCACGAATTCCCTCTCATACTACATAAATATTTCTCTTTCCAAACCTTTTTTCTCTTTTTCCTCCACCGCTTGAATATGCTGAATACTATTGGTCCTTCTTGCATTGGCTAAAGGATGAAAGTACTTTGTGTTCCCATCACTCCTTGATCCATTTAGTTCGTGATCTTTGGAGCCAATGTATTTCCTCCAACTTGAGCCAATCTTGCAGGGTAGCTTTCAATCGCAATCTTGTTCATACTTCCTCAATGCTTAAACCCCTTTGTTCTTGTTCCCTTTAATCTATTCAAGCTAGTATATTTCTAATCTTTCTTCCAAATCTCCAATGTTCTCCCTCTACCCTCTAAATCTTTCTTTAAGGACTTTCAATTTTAAGGACTTTCAATTTTTCCCTTGCGAGCCTTGAACTTGGGTGGAAGACCGAACCCTTTTAAACAAGCTTGGCAATGATTGTCCTCTAGCCATGCTAATTCAATATGAAATGGGTTGTGCCATATTTTGGTCTCTATGTGTTGAGTAATAAGTGCTTATGGTCCTTAGCCAATTCAGGAATTGCCCTTAATGAGGAGTTTGGAAACATTTATTAGGAGGTGGGTCATAAAAAATGTTCCTAGTTTTGACAATAAAGGGTTTTTCACAACACTTATTTGGCCATATGTAATTAACTCCGGAAACTGGGAGGTCAACTAATTCATGGTTCTGAATGAACTTTGCCTACAATGTGCCATTGTACCAGGATATTAGATTTATTTGGATTATATTTTCCTGCGCCACACCATGGAAGATCACCCACCAAATTATAATCAAACATACCCCCAATATTCCAACAGAATATCTTCATCTTCATGAGGAAATATGACATGTTCTTTTTACTGTGATTGAGCGAAAATGTGCAGACAGGTGCTTATTGTTAGATTACACATCTATGACATGTACTCTGTCATTGTTAATTTGACTCACTAGGCTGTCAGGCTCTTTGTTTCTGTATTTCCTTTGCTTCTTCCATCATGCCTTCTATTGTCATGTCCTCTGTTTTGAGCCATCTCATCTGCCAATAACCTGGAATGCTCCCTCAATCTCTTCCACCTCACACACTACATTCATAGTCATGAACATTTCTCCCATATTGTCTCTAGACATAGAGATCCTCCATTCCTTAGCCGAGTTAGCAAACCACTGGTTGTCATCTTCCACTGTCATCTGCTGGACCATTGAACCCCTCCAATTTAGTCACAGAGACCACTAATAGAGGTTCTACCTCTAACTATTCGATCAACTCCATATTGGAGCAGGTTATAAGTCCTCATGTGATGGAGAAGGGGACGTTTTCTCTTTCTATCTGGAAGGCTTCTACAAGTTATTGAGCACTTCAAAACCCTTGAACACCACTGCTGCAAGCTTGTCTTATCTATAAGAGGAGGGCTGAATGATCCTACTACGACTGTTCTTAGCAAACCCTCCTTCTCTCAAACTACCTCTTTCCGCATATCAAGCATTGTGGTTTTAAGAAAAGATATCCTACTTAAATGTCGTCCTCGTATCTATCTCTCCAAAACGACAAAGGGAAAAAAAAAGGAAAGAAGGAAATGAATATCGGTAGTGGGACAAAGATCCCTACTCATATCAAATTAATAAGAAATAAACATGCAAATATCACTATTGAAAGGAGTATGTATCATAACAATGGACATTTCGGTGATTCTATTTACATTAAGATTTACAATAGAATGTGCATGACTCCATTCTGGTTAAAAATTAGCCAACTTCATTAATTTTCGATGGCTTGACCATGTTCGAGCTATAAGCTGGTTGATTATAGTATGATGTGACATTGGACACCATTTCTTGGCCTATTCCAACTTAATTTTTTGGTAAGACGACCTCATCAAATGGCTTAGCGAGGGACTCACCCCACTGTTCCTCACTGGATTTTTTGGAGACATCGTGGGGTCATTGATTGGAAGCTCTCCTTGATGACTCAGGCTTGAAAGGGAAGAATATATTTCTTTCCACCTTGCTGGGCCTGGGTAACTACGGTAGCTGGGGTGAAACTATTGTCTAACTGTGGAATGCGAATGAGTTTGCATTTAGCGCCCTTGTTGTATCTCTACCTTTTGGCGCCTTATCTCCCCCTCACCCTCCTTGAGATTGTGTCTCAAATACAAAACGTATAAATTGTGTTCTTCGGCCCAATCTTGAGACGCTTGATATGGAGATCCTTCTCCTTCAAATCTTGTTCGAGCTCCAATAGGTTGTTAACAATTTAGAGATTACTGAGATTTGAGATTCTTGGGGATGGTGAACGATCGATAGAAATTCGTCACCACCATCAATGGATGAAGAGCTAGTCCCTCCCTTCCTCTTGGAGGAAGGGTGGTGAGTGCTGTTAAAATATCACCTTTAATACTTGATAGAGAAGAACAAGTGGCATGTATAGAGATGGATAGAGAGGAAGCCAAAGGAGAGTGATGTGACCCATTATTCTTTTTTGAGTGAGGGGTTGCTGTAAAAAGATATATGTTTTCTAACTCTAATTAATTGAGGGTTAGATAAGGATACAACTAAATCTTGAAATTACATATTTGTATAATGAAAACAAAACTATAAATACAATAGTAAGCTGTAGAAGTATACAAAATTGCCGATATTTTCTTGGTCACTTATGGTTAAAACTCCCCCTAAAGCGGTACATCGTGTTTTGCCTTGTACAACTTGTCCTTCAAATACAATGTTGCTCCTTTGGTAGCCCTTCTGTAAATATGTCTGTTATTTGATCTTTTGTGCTCAATCTTGCTTCAATTTCTTTGGCTTCAACTCTTTCCAGCATGAAATGATAATCTATCTAAATATATTTAGATCTATCATGAAATATTGGATTTGCTTCCAAGGCTAAGGCACTCTTATTATCACCAAACACTTTGGATTTTTGAGTATTTTTTTCATGCCCAATGTGGTCATCATACTGTGGATCCATAACATCTTTGATATATTAGTTCTTAGTGATAGATATTTAGCTTCAACACTTAGCTAATGTCTTGTATTTCTTACTTCTCCATGATATCACGTTTTTCCCAAGATAAACATAAAATCTAGAGACTGAACTTCTTGAATTGGAGTCACTAGTCCAATCAGCAACCGAGTATCCCATTATTGATTCAATTTGCAAGTTCTTCACGTCATTTTCCTGATAGAATATGCTATGGATTGCTGTTCCGTTAATGTATCAGATTATTCTCTTTAAGGCTTCTATGAAATGAAGGGAGCATATGCATGAATCAATGTACCTGATTCACTACAAGTGATATATTTGGTTGGGTTATTGCGAGATACTGTAAAATCCCTTTAGTACTTCTACTTCTTCGGTTCTCTTAACAATTGCCCTTCTCCCTACTCAGTCTTTTCTTTATGGCATATTAGTCTTTTGTAACAAATCTACAGCATACTTTTGTTGAGATAGCTTAATTTTATTAGCATCTCGATTACCTCTATCCCAAGAAAGTACCTTAGTTCTCCAAATTCTTTCATTTGGAATTTATTGTTTGGAAATCTCCTCACAACAACAATATATACATATGACCTACCTGTAATAGTAATATCATCAGCATACACAAGCACACCTATAATACTAGCATCACATCTTTTGATTAACAGGGAGGGGTCAAGTGCTGCTCTCTTAAATCCTCACTCCTTAAATGCATTTTGAAATCTTTGTAACCAAGTTCTTGAAGCTTGCTTCTATCTGTAAATTGAGTAATTCAATGTTTATACATAATCTGTTTTATCTGCTTCACTAAATCATGGTGGTTGCTCCATGTAAACCTCCTCTCTTCAAGTGTGCACAAACCCCTGTCTATTAGATTTCAAACTACATGATTTTTCTATACAAACACTGAAATGGGGGGATTCGTTACGTCATGGTAAGGTTTTACATACAATGAGAAGACATAGGTCATCTCCCTTTTTGTGTTGCTGAGTTTGGTGACATTCATTGCCATCATTCATTAGATGGCTGTAGAAATTTTCATGGTGATTGGTCACTTTTCCTTTGAACCACTTGATGAGAATACACTTCTTGGCCCTTCTACTTCAGCGCGATCTCTCTCTCTCTCTCTCTCTCTCTCTCTCTCTCTCTCTACTATATATATATATATATATATATATATATATATCAATCTCTTTTGATGCGAGTTTCTTTTCTTGGCAGTCTGGTTTTAGTTTCATTTCTTAGTGTAACGACCTATGAGCAATTTGCCTTGGTTCTTGTGGTTATGTCCATAACTCTTTTGTTGGGTGATCCATTATGTGTAACTCTCCATATGGTTTAGTTTATCAATGTCTGTGTTCTGATTTTTGCATGTCAATCGATATATGTTTTCTTATATTTTTTGGTTTCTTTTATCGTGTACACAGTTTTCATATCCACTTTCAGTAATCTGAAATTAGCGGAGGATGGAAGAGATGAGCAAAGAATCCAATCTCAGGTAATATTATTTTACCCTTCCTTTTTCTTGTTAAGAAATAATTTCGCCCTTTGTAGTTATCTCTTGGTGTTATTTTCATGGAAACATAGAGAAATAAGGAAATTCTAGCCGAGCAATGGGGGAGGTTGACTTGATTCACACACGCGCACACACACACACGTGCACACACACACACACACACTCACACACATATATATATATATATAGAGAGAGATTATGTCATTATCACATTTAAATTTAGTAATTAGGGACTGGTCCAAATTAATGGAAAATTTATGTAGAGGTCCATTTGTTTCTTTTTTCAATTTTCTCTCAGTCCAATATTGGACATCAGATTGCTTTTCTATTTGACTTGTTCTAATCTTTTTAAGGGTACAAACCTGTTAGATGTTTGAAGAATTGGACCAGCCATTATACGGTCTGATGTTGGAGACATTGGTTGAAATTTTCAAACATAAAGCAAATAATGCGATGTGCTATTACATTAAAAAGAAAGTGCGGTGCGATATCTCTAATATTGGACCGGCCTACTACCAACTAATGCCTCCACTAATATCAAATTGTGTTCTAAGTGGTCCTTTGGACCACAAATGTTTCTGAAATTTTTTATTATTTCCTTTATCCCATTAGCACTCTCTTACTCTTCCAAAACAGCAGCTCTTAGACTTCACAAAATTTGACCTAATTTTAATACATTGGGGCTTTTATGGTTTGGCAGACCACCTAGGGCATAAAGGCTTTGAAAAGCTTTTCGTTTGGGGGGGGGAGGGCTTTCCAATATACATGTTTCGGACCCTGCCCTTTGTGCTTTTTTGTTGTTTTTTGTTTTAAATTTCGTCCTTATGTCTTTGATTATGGAGTTCTAAAAAATTATGGAGTTTCCAACATCGGATTGGTCTGTACCTTTTTAAAAAATTAAAAGAATATAACAAAAACTATCTGACGTTTCCAACATCAGACCGAGGGGAAAAATTAGAAAAAATAATAAAGGACTGGAAAAAGCATTGGTAAGATGTAGTAACATCAGACCGGTGTATCTCCGTGTATTTTTTTCTATAAATTTGGATCAGTCCATAATTACCATATTTAAATCTGGTATGGATGTAAATTGTACATATTGTACATATGGAACATATACAAAGCAACCATTTACCTTAGATATAAGGAGGTCACAATCATTCTTGCCTGTTAGATTTAAATCAGGGGTTCGGGAATCTGTTATTGACTAGACTCAAACTTTAAATTTTTTCTTGAACCTCGTGAAATACCTAAACTGTCTATTTTATTATGTAACAGCTAGGGTAATTGTGACCTCCTTATACCAAATATAAATAGGACTTATAGCATATATGTGGAAAAAGATAAAAAGATGCCACAATGTTTTTTCGACAATAGTATTGTGTTCTCATGCACTCTCAACCATCCGATCTTGATTGGACAATTGAGACTCGGTTTCAGTAGTCAAATTTGAAATGTTTTTTGAATCGGATTCGACAATAATTTGGGTCATTTCAAATTATTCAAAATATTGTTTTAGTGTTCTTATTAGATGTATTTCGAAGTGTGACTGCCCCTCATTTCAGCTAAATTGAATTTCTTAAAAAAAGATTCATATTTAGTGGATGGATTACTTCAAACTTTTTTCAAAAGTCAGGGTTTAGCTTTGCTGATTTTATCTTTGTAGCGAGACTTTTCTCCATTGAAGCGTCTGTAGTTTCACTTTTACAGAATCAATTGAATTTCTAGCCCTATTTTCTCTTTAATCTTGTTCATCTATACTTTGTGTTGCATCACTAAATTGGCATATAACAACAGAAAACTGAATGCTAACCTCATTATCAGCACAAAGTAGTCTAATTTACCATACACTGGCAGTTTTTTAGTTGAGAGTAGATTATTTTAATATGAAAGTTTATTTCTGTTTGTGATGTACAGGCTAATGGCATACCCGTCGTTTGGAGACCACCACAAATGGGCTCATTGAAGTTAAATGGAGACGGCTCGTCTAAACGTGGCGGCGTGCGTGCAGGTGGTGGAGGAATCCTTAGGGATCACTTTGGTAGGTGTTTGTTTGTTTTTGCGCACCATTACAAAGGTGTTTCTGCGATATTTGCAGAAACTAGGGCTATGCTAGACGGTTTGACCATTTGTAGGAATCTAGGGTATTCTGATGTCCTCTCAGAAATGGATTCGCTACATTTGGTGCAAGCCATGGTGCGTGGAGCTTCTGATTCGTGGCAATGTGGGCCTTATTGGTTTGCATTGCGCTCAATCTTAGGCAACTTCCCGCGTTGGTATGTGTCACATACATATCACAAGGGAAATTTTGCCGCAGATTCCCTTGCTAATTTGGGATCGATCAACTATGGTGAGCGTTTCTATTGTCTTGGAGGTATTCCTTTGCCTCCTTTAGTTGAAGATTTTGTGCGTAAGAACTCCCTAAGTGTTCTACACTATAGGTTCAGTAAAAAGAAAATAAAGCCTTACAATTTTAAGGGAATAATAAAAAGAAAATAAAAGACTTAAAAGTATAAGGGAATAATTGTTAGGTTGTGTTACCTTTAAAGGCCGTGAGGTCATGTAAATATAATAAGAGGACATCGTAGCGATATTCCGATGCCAAATCTAGACCACACATCTTGATGGCATGAACGTAGATGGTAGGCTTGACTCATGTCTCTTTTTGTTGTCTTTGGTAGATGACATGAAGGGCCGTAATTCATAATCTAGAAGCATCTTCACACTTGAGGCTTGAAAAACTATGAATACCTCCTTGAGTTCATTTAGCACATATGAGGTTCTCACACCTCATTTTCCCCCCAAAGGTGGCATACCCAATTCACTCTCTTCTCTTTCTATTTGGCATGCCCAAAGCTAGCTCTTTCTCTCTCTAAAAGTGATCTTGATATTATGTAAGAGATATACTCCTTCAAGGTCTCATACAACTCCCTTAATGGTGATCCAAAGCTCTAAGCTCAAGCCATAGATGATCTAGACTTCTAGCCTGCAAGAATTGAATAAGGTGTTTTAATTTTCATTGATTTGATTGTCTTATCTCTGTTGTAAATCTTCAATTACAGCAGCATCTCTTTCACTTTGGATGATCATTCTTTTAGTTCCTGGATTTTTGATTCATCTCTCATGATCCATGTTGTTTAAGCCTTCATTTATGAGCAATTTGAAGTAGTTTTCCATGACCTTTGTGAATTGAATATTTCAAATATTTTTGACTGATTTTCCTCGGAGTTTTCAAACTCACATCAGTGATTTAGATCACCTCCTAGCCTCCTTGAATTGTTCATTTTGTAAAGAGAGACTATGTCGAATTTTTATGAGCTACTATGTGAAGAAACTTGAGCCGGTTTTGTGTTTCAAAGTCCTGGATCTCTCCCATGGTTTTCCCACTTGGTTAGAGTTTTGAATCTCTACAAGTCCTTGCATGTTTAAAGTGTGTAACGGTAGATGCTCAGTGTCCCACTATATTAGATAATAAATTGGCCCTGATTTGTGAGATGCCATCGCATGTCACCCATTGGCATATAGTTAAGACCCAAGGCGGAAAACCATGCACCCGAGAGCTCCATGGTCTTGATCCACTTTACACTTGATCATATGCATGTTGTTGTTATGAAGATCATGTTGTGATGAGTTTTATGAGTTCGTTGATATGTGATTTTGTTAGGCAAGTTTGAATGGTGCTGAATTTTTAAATGCATACTATACACACGTAGTTTGATGATCTCTTTTTATAACTTGTTTTGTTCATGAGCAAGGTACCCCACTTGAGTTATATCCTCTCATTTGAGTGTATTTTGAAGTCAATAGCTCGCTGTTATCATAGTGACCTTGCTGTAATTTGTATTTTCAAGTTGTAATTCCAAGTGCATTGTGAATTTTTCAAGTTATATTGGATTGGTTGGACTAAAATGTGGTCCAATTCAAGTATGTTGGTTTTGATACACTCCTGTGATGGATGTTGAGTGGGGAGGTTACAACTCAAAACGTTTGGTAGGACCAATTCTCCTCCATCACATTTCAACCCATTGATGATGGTGATAACCTCATGGTCATGTTGTTCATAGGACTGTATTGATGAACCTAAATAGAATGTTCTGTAAGCTCTTTCTCAATTAAAGAATGAGTTTTGAGGTCTCTCTCTCTCTCTCTCTGACTTGGCCCCATTGATGATGGTGATAACCTCATGGTCATGTTGTTATTAGGACTGTATTGGTGGCCCTAAATAGAATGTTCTGTGAGCTCTCTCCCTTAAAGAATGAGTTTGAGGACTCTCTCTCTCTCTCTCTCTCTCTCTC